AACAACCTTCCCTTGTTACGTAAGTACCAGTATGATCTTATTGAGGAATTTTCATCGGACCTCTTTGATAAGATCAAAGCGTGCATCGCAGAGACAACATTTATTGGAATAGATACGGAGTGGTTTATGACAATAAAAAGCAGTTGATATCCTGTTGTGTCATTGATACAACTCGAAATTAAACGTGGGAGCAAGAACAATGAAGAATACAAATTTTTTTTTTGTTGGATTGTTTGAAATTGCCGCAACAACCAATATTTGACATTCTAAGGTTCATATACACAAACAACGAGACACTTAAGCTTGGTTTTCATTTAATAACGACTACGCTAATCTTGCTGAGTTCCTTAAGGACGTGTGTGCACTGGACATGATAAATGTAAGTTTTCCAGACTTGTTTATATAAAAACTGGTAATTTGTTTGCAATTACAAGATTGTTCTAATATCCGGGGCTTATTTTCGCAGATTTTCCCTTTTATCTTCCTGCAGACCATGTTCAGGTAGTTTGTTCAGTCTAAAAATCAAATACAATTCAAGTTTGTAGTGGAACAACTCCTCAGATGCTACCTCTCGAAGGTAATACAAACTACCAACTATTAAAAACTAAAAAACACAATATTACAACAAGAGCCTATGTGACTGGATATGAGGAAAATATTTCAGCAATATCCTATTTTATTGAGCTTTGCTTCCGTATTTTTTACTCAGGTTGAATAGACGGGGTTCTAGGGTGAAAGACCTTTGAGTAGTTCCCAAAAAATATATTTTGCAAATGTCGAAGCTATGCTTGATCTACTTCCTAAATTTTAGACCAACATTAGGCAATGTTTGTTAAGGACATTTTACTTTTCATTTAGAAAAAATATTTTTTTTGTTAAGATTTAATCTAGTGTCGCTCGTGATTATCTTTACAGGTGGATGGAAGCCCTATGTATACACATCCGTCGTCGAAGACTAAAAAAGACGAGGAAGTCATGTAACTAATCAAGACACTAGAGCGTTCATGGATTGTTTTGCTAATTATGGACTTGTGCAAACGAAATGGTGGAGAACAAATTTGGTCTACAATTGATGGAGTACTTGTGAACCAAGACGTTATTGCGGCTCTGTATGATCACGAGGGAAGTTAAATGGTATAGTTCATAAAATTATCTGAGGTTATCAGAGAGGAGTATAAAAGAGAAGAAAGGATAGATGTCTTACATCAACAATAAATTTCGGGACACCTATATTAGCTGATGGACGCACTGTAGTAGGTGGACAGGCAGTTCTGTTTCCTAGTTGTTTACAACTTCGAAATAGTTCTTTTTTAGCATGTTTTTTTAAGTATTTTTTTTTAGCCTTCGACGGCGGATATGTGTACACATGGGTACTTCCTAAATTTTAGACCAACATTAGGCAATGTTTGTTAAGGACATTTTACTTTTCATTTAGAAAAAATATTTTTTTTGTTAAGATTTAATCTAGTGTCGCTCGTGATTATCTTTACAGGTGGATGGAAGCCCTATGTATACACATCCGTCGTCGAAGACTAAAAAAGACGAGGAAGTCATGTAACTAATCAAGACACTAGAGCGTTCATGGATTGTTTTGCTAATTATGGACTTGTGCAAACGAAATGGTGGAGAACAAATTTGGTCTACAATTGATGGAGTACTTGTGAACCAAGACGTTATTGCGGCTCTGTATGATCACGAGGGAAGTTAAATGGTATAGTTCATAAAATTATCTGAGGTTATCAGAGAGGAGTATAAAAGAGAAGAAAGGATAGATGTCTTACATCAACAATAAATTTCGGGACACCTATATTAGCTGATGGACGCACTGTAGTAGGTGGACAGGCAGTTCTGTTTCCTAGTTGTTTACAACTTCGAAATAGTTCTTTTTTAGCATGTTTTTTTAAGTATTGTTTTTAGCCTTCGACGGCAGATATGTGTACACATGGGCCCTTCATCCATCTGTAAAGATAATTATGAGCGACACTAGGTTAAACCTTAACCAAAAAAATAGGCTATTGCTGAAATATTTTTCTCATATCCAGTCACATAGGCTCTTGTTGTAATATTGCGATTTTTTTAGTTTCTAATAGTTGACAGTTTGCATTACCATCTAGAGGTAGGATCTGAGGAGTTATTCCACTACGAGCTTGAATTGTATTAGATTTTTGGACTGAACAAACTGCATGAACATGATCTGTAGTTAGATAAAAGGGAAAATCTGCGAAAACAGGCCCCGAATATTAGAACAATCATGTAATTGAAAACAAATTATCAATTTTTATGTAAACAAGAATGGAAAACTTACATTTATCATGTGCAGTGCATACACGTCCCTAAGTAACTCAGCAAGATTAGCGTAGTCGTTACTAAATGAAAACCCAAGCTAAAGTGTCTCGTTGATTATGTATATAAACCTTAGAATGTCAAATATTGGTTATTACGTCAATTTCAAACAATCCAACAAAAAGATTTTGTATTCTTCATTGTTCTTGCTCCCACTTTTAATTTCGAGTTGTATAAGTGACACTACACGATATCTATTGATTTCTATTGTCATAAACCACTCAGTGTCTATTACAATAAACGCTGCCTCAGCAATGCACGTTTTGATCTTATCAAAAAAGGTCCAGCGAAAATTCCTCAATAAGATCATATTAATACTCACGTAACAAGGGAATGTTGTTTAGTTTTCTTGTCCATCTTTTTCTCCTGTTTCACCTCCTTATGTCGAGGCTAGTGGAGATTCGTTGGGTTAAACTCTCTCGGAAGCAGAAATAATATAATTCATTTCCCGCACGTGAGAGTTCATCTAATGTCACATAAAATGAAAAAGGTAATATTTTTGCCTATCTGCTATATATCCACTAGCACATAATGAAATAATATATCCACTAGCATATGTCTATCTGCCTATTTGCTATATATCTACTAGCACATCATGAAATAATATATCCAATTGCCTATCTGCCTATCTGTAATGATCGTAAATTTCTAATATAGGTTTAAATAATTTTTTGGTATTTAAACATTAAATATTATTTTTCTAAAAGAGTATTTTTATTTTCCCCAATTTCTCTAGAATTTTCTACGATTTAAAAATACGGTATTATATTTAAATTGTTTTGCTAATTATAAATTTAATTTTTTTGGTAAAACTTTTTAAATTAATAGTTAATTATTTATTATTGTTATTGTTATTATTATTTTGACCATAAATTTTCAATATTTATTTGAATAATTTTTTTTGGTATTTTAATTATTTTTTTAAAGGGGGTAATTCCCTGCGTTTTCTCTCACCTGTAAATCACTCTCTTCATCTCTCCCCTACCCCACACCCCTAAAACCCTCCCCAATTCACGCAAATCCCCACCTCGTGTCTCCCCCAACTCCTTAAACCCCCCACGTGACTCTCACTCTCTTATTCTCTTTCTCTCTCCAATCAAACTCTCCCTCCTCTTCATCAGCTCATCCCCATCTCTCTCCTTCTTCATCACAACCCAAGCATCGCAGCTCCTTCACCGTAAAACCGCTGACGTGACTCACCACCGGCACACCAGTCGTCGCGACCACCATCCGCTCTCCTCCTAAAACGCCTAATCTGAGCTCGACAACGCCTCAGCCTCAAGCTCCGCCAGTCTTAACAGCCTCCTTCACCGCCATTTCCCCACCTTCACCGCCACCTCCTCGTCCTTCCCCCTCAGCTGACGCCACCCAGATCTGGGCCTCCGCTCATCATGCCCAACTCCACCACCCTCGGTCCGCCTCCTGTTTCCCCTAGCGCGCTGCTCGCCTCGCTATCATCGCCCAACCGCCGTCACCCTTCCGCGTCGACATCCGCTCCTCATCCCGTCGTTCAGCCTCCTCCCTGAGCTCCGCTTGCAACCAGCCCCCCTCTCTCTCGTTCTTAGCTGTCACCATCGCTGACCCAGCGCCCTCTGCCCTCCGACGTCGACATCTCATCCCCGCCGTATCCAAAATATGAAGCAACAAAGTATGAAGATGAAGGAAATTTCTTTATCGTTAATTACTACAAAGCAAAAACTTTGAAGCCTCATTAACACAGAGAACTGCCATGACAACCAATTATGTCACATAAAATCAAGAATCTGAAAGAAACCTATTATCATCCAAAGAAATGGAGAAATAACATTACCAGGAAGTCCTGTTTAACAAAACTATTCGTGTAGCGTCTGATGAGTTCTTAAATTGTAGTACTAAGCAAGAATTAATTTCAAAAATAGCTAGGATCATAATCCATCATGAATATTACTATAATCATATATATGATAGACTCATAATTGCTATCTCTATCAAAATGTTATAATCTACTCAACAGGAAATTTTGTCCTAACAAATATCTATCTGAAATACGAAACAACAGTTAATTTCTCCATAGCAAGATTTTGAAGTTTGAACGCTCGTTAACAGAGGGATTTTCCATGGCTACCAGTATCGCACATAAATCAAGAACTTGACAGAAATTAAGCTATTATCATCCGAAGAAAATTGGGGGAACAAATCGACCAAGGAGCACAGTTTAGAAAATACTATATAGGTAGCATTCAAATTCTTAAATTGCACTAATCAAGACTTAAATTTAAATGATACAGGCTCGTAATTGCAAGTAAATCAAAATTACAACGTCAATATATCAGTCTTGATCATGTGGGGGGGGCGGGGGGGAGAGAAAACGTTGAACAACACAAAGTAACACCTTTATACATCTGATGACCCCATTCATTCAGATAGATGGTTTCAAGGTAGACTGAATGCATAACAAAGAAAAATCGCCTAATTTTTTATAAAGGATCGAAAAGGAAAAGAAAATCTGATTAATTATGACGAATTTATACCTCACAGAGGAGCCCGGCGTGGATCAGAATCAGAAATAAAACCTAAAACCCATAGATCTATTTCTATCCAATGAAAGAAACCATGAGATCGGCAGATCATTCAAAAGGGGATCAAAAAGGTCAAAAGAAAATTGATTGAATTTATACCTCGCGGGTTGAAGCGGCGATGCCCTTCTTTCGTTTCCAAATGTAGAGAGGACAAAGAAGAAATTAATCCCCTTCCTCTTGTCCTCCCTCCCCATTCGATTTTGTAAAGAGCCCGAATCCTCTCCTCGCAAGGAAAAAAAGATAGGAGTGCATAATTACCGAATCGCCATACCCCGATCGTGAGGATGAGAAGGGCTGAGCAAATAACTGACCGATTAATAAAAATAAGTTACGCTCTTCACCTTTACCACTCACTGCTCACTAGTCCGAATATGACACCGGCGACGGGTCGGGAGTCTTTGGTCGGGACTCCGGAGTCTCGGGACCGTCGGGATCTGACGAATTTGAGTGGAGGGAGGCTGGAAATGGAGTGGAGGGCTGGAGGCGGCGGAATGGGATGTGATATCACAAGGCGCTAGGGTTTTTAGTTGTTGTTGGGTTTTGGGTGCGGTTCCGGGTTTGTAATTGTAACTTTGTGATCCGAATCATTATTACATTGCGGATATCCGTATCCGCAACTCTTATATTCGTATCCGAATCCGTATCTGAAAAAAAAAATCTTAAATTGGATCTGTATCCGAAACCGTATCCGCCCGGTTTTAAAATTAGCTTACTATATCTGTATCTGTTCGGATACGAATGCGGATCGATTCGGATATATCCAAATCGTTTGGCATCCCTAATAACAACACAATCTATAGCACAAAGTATATTCCGGGCATTTGTTATTTATAGTGCAAGGCACACGTGAAGATTAAATTAAAAACTGGCCTTCATTGGAAATTTATAATAACGTGGAAGAGCAAAAGAGAAGGGAATTGTTTTCTCGACAATGTTGAGTTGATTTTTTAAGATAATGCATCCTAACCTCAGTTGAGGTTTGCATCCTGGGTTTTTGTGAAGTTTGAACCAGGTTACTGTTTGTTAAAATGAGGTGACGGGAGGTGAGGTGACTTTGCAATAAATTTATTGCGCTGACAATCTCTGGTTAATTGGATTGATAAAAGGAGTTTATTTTTAAAACAGACCATTTTTTGCTAAATAATTAGCAAAACCGGTCGTTTTTGCGCTGACAACCTCTAGTTAATTGGATTTACACATATCTAGCTTCTCAGATTCGATTTATTGCTCATGGTCATCATAAGAAGAAGATGGTTGCAAAAAATATCAGGAGGGGGTATTTGTTCAGGTTCGACAGTTTGGATAGAAGAAGGAGAAGCTTGCTCAGTAGATATTCTAACTTGGTTATCAATCTGTTTTCTGCTCTTCATATGTGAATTGCATTTACTTGGGCTGGATGGGATGAACTCAATCCAATGTCTTTAGGATTTGCAATTGGTTGACTCGAAAATCTCTCTCTCCTCTCTCTCTCTCTCTCTCTCTCTCTCTCTCTCTCTCTCTCTCTCTCTCTCTCTCTCTCTCTCTCTACGCTAGCTAGTTGTCCTAGATGAGTTTCTAATCTAGCTATGACTTTATAGTTAGACTTTAGCAATTGACCTGTTGTTTGCATGAAAAATTTCAGAATGTTGGATGATTGAGTTAATTTGTTGGTGGTCTATGTAGATGCTTTTCTGTCACGACTTCTAGACCTTTCTCTAATACATGAGTCGTTTCTCATGGTCAGAACTTGGTGGAATAGAATTTACATATTGATTATGAGGAGGCTAATTTTGGTATGAAAGATTAGGTTATGGATTATGAAGATTATTATGAGTGTTGAATGGTCTTATATTTCCACTAGAAAATTGTGAAGCTGAAGTGTAAAACCCCGTATTTTTTGGTTATGAATATATGTGAATTATTGTGATAAATAGCTTGAGGTCATAGATGTACATGATAACAAGTTATTTGAGATGATATGAGTGTATGCGTATAGAGTTTTGTGCGTTGGTTTTGCAAATGAACAAAACATGCACGAAACAGGAAAATTGCCGGATCAGTCGACCGATCAGTCGACTGACGAGATCTGTCGACCGACGAGCTGTTTTCCAGTTTTTCCAGGTTTCGGGTCTGTGTTGATTGGTTCGGGTTTTGGGTCGGGTCTGGCTGTTCATATATGATCTCCCCTACCCGAAAACACCCCCTCTCACCATCAGATCTGAGAAACCCTAGCCCCCTCTCTCCTCTCTCAAACCCTAGATTCGTTCTTGGCGATTTTGGGGCGTTTTAAAGGATTTTCAGCGGGTTTCGAACGTTGCAGCAAAGGGGAATCATCCTCTCGCAGATCCAAGAGTGTTGCAACACCCCAGAGGCGAGTAACATCTCGCCCAACTCTGTCCCTTTTGTTTTACACGAATTTATTGAGTTTTAATGAGTTTTTATTGAGCCTAAAACGTATTTTTAGTACAAAGAATAAATCTTTATAGTATATGATGTGAAATATTGAGCTTTTCAGTTTATAAAAAGATCATCAACGTTTTATTAAAGAGATCTAGATCTGAAAACGTTTGACAAGAGTTAATTCATGATTTATTGATTTCAAAACGTATTAAACATGTTTTTTATATGTTTAAGGTTTTTGATAAATGTTTACATGCAGATCTTTCATTTCAGTTTAGTACATATATGTTAAAATCAGTATCTTTATGCTTGGGATTTATGATGATAATTTTAGATAAATTTTATTACAATAATCAAAACCTGCACAACAGGTTATGCAGTCGTTCGGTCGACTGATCAGTAGACTGACGGGCTGAATTTTTTTAGCTATCAGTCGACTGATCAGTCGACTGACGGGCTGATTTTGTTCTTCTCAGTTCCTCAGTCGACCGATCAGTCGACTGGTGAGCTGAGGCTATTTTGCCTGATCTTATTAGTCGACCAATGAGTCGACTGATTGCATCAGTCGACACATGAGTCGACTGATGAGGTGTTTTATAGATTTTTGATCTGTTTGAGTTGCTTTTCGGGGTAGCCTCGATTATTTGACATTAGTTTACAATGTTAGTGTTTTATCTGTACATGTGAGTTAACTTTTGACACAAGTACTGATCCGCACACCGAGGCACGTGTGACATGAGTCTATGTGTATCTTTTGTGTGTATATATCATCGACACTTACACTTTGCAACATTTATATTCAGTCCATGCGTTGGACATTGGTCATATTTAGTCCATGCGTTGGACATTGGTCATATTCACTCCATGCGTTGGACATTGGTCATATTTAGTCCATGCGTTGGACATTGGTTATATTCAGTCCATGCGTTGGACATTGGTCATATATAGTCCATGCGTTGGACATTGGTTATATTCAGTCCATGCGTTGGACACTCGTTACTTTCAGTCCATGTGTTGGACGTTTACTTCATTCAGTCCATGTGTTGGACATTTAACCTATATAGTCTATGTGTTGGACACTTAATCGTTTTCGGACATGACACTCATGTGAGTTCGGCATGACACTATGTTTGGAAGTAGAGATGGGTTTTGTATTCTTTTAATTTGTTTGTTTCCTGTATTAGATTCCGGGTTTGGTATTTAGGGATTTACAATTTGAGATACAAGGTATATACATGAGGGTTTCCTTGTTTGGATTATTTTGCTCGACGTATCTATGCTCGTGTTGTAGTTTCCTAAATGCTAAAACCCTCCATTTGCTAGGATCGATGATATTATATTATTATGTATTAACTGTATTTTCATATACAACGAGCCCTATCCCTTGGGATTGGTTGTGATGTTGCTCGCTAGCGCTTTGACGCTCGTTGTTCCTCCCCCTTTCAGGTAACGAGTCAGGAGCCGGAGAGTCACAGGTTGATGGCGATGCACTATAGTGATCAGATGTCTAGTTTAGTTACATTTTATTTTGGTGCTCCACCGTAGATGTATTGTTTAGACTTGAGAGTATTTATTCTAGTATTGTAAAGGCTGTGTACCTTATTTCATATTATCAGACATTGTATATTTGATACTTGTTGAGATCTCCAGATTTGTTTAACTCAGACATGGACCTTTGTATTTCCGTTTACTGGATGATGAAGTATTGTTTTGATTTCTATCATTCCATCATTTATCTTTTGTATTACCTTTTACTTGCTTGTACCTACACCTGTTGTTGACTCTACTAGAGAGATAGTAATTGTGATGGTGAAACATGCTATTGCACAGTGTGGTGCATGGCAGGTTTGACATTCCTAGTTTTACCTCGGACTGCAGCCTTGTGTGAACCCAGGGGCATCACATGAAGAGAGAGTGAAATTTTAATTTCCAAACCTCGGACTGCAGCCTTGTGTGAACCCAGGGGCATCACATGAAGAGAGAGTGAAATTTTAATTTCCAAAGAAATTTATCTGATTCCATGCAAAATTAGGATACTTTCACCAAACCAGACTGTAAGTTAGAAAAATGGATTATCTTTAGGATGCTAGAATGCATCATTCATTTGATCAAGTGGTTGGTTATTTCCTAAAAGTATTTCTTTAAAACATGAGCTGGAGATAGACAATTATTGATAATCTTATTAGGATGCTAGAATGCAACATTCATTTGAACAAGTGGTTGGTTATTTTCTAAAAGTATTCCTTTGAAACATGAGCTGGAGATAGGCACTTATTGACAACTTGAAAACAAACTTGGTTCATATGAGTGGGAGCTCGATCTTTAATTTTTAAGACTTCATAGATGCAAGATTGCAGTCATCTTAGGAATAGAGGCTATGATCGACACTAAGGGCAACCCACTTGATTTGGTTGAGGGAACTTATGAAGATACTCTATCATTATAGTGTTTTCATTGTATGGTTTTCTCAATTAAGTTTTCTAAAAATTCTCTGGTTTTATCAGCATTTTTCTTCATGAAATTTCCTTGACACGTAGATTTTCAAAGGTTATATTTGAAGAATAATCAACTATTCATAGATAATTTGGAATAAACGCCACTTCTCTAAACCATGGTGAGGACATTGGATAAAAAGTTCATTAAACCTCTCTAAATAGTTGGATGCTACCTGAATAGTATTTTCTAAAAACATTACTTATATAAATTGCAGCAACTGAATGTTTACAATCTTCATTCAAAATTAACAATGAAAAGAACAAGATAGCATGAACTAGAACTGGTCAGGAAATATATAGGAACAAAGATAAGATGAAAAATATTACTAGAATCATATGACATAGGTTCATGCATTCTTGTTTATTGAAGCTATTAGAAATGATCGAAAACGGTAATTGTAAGGTAGAAAATAGAAAATAAAATTAGTTATAAAACTACTGAAATGGCACAAACAGAGTGACACATAGCTTGCTTAAATGCATATTTTTCTCAGAAAATGTAAAATAAATCAATCAAAATTATTGGCTTAATTCAATTAATGATCATCTCAGGGAAATAATAACTAGTGATCTTATTAATGTGACTAAAAATCGGTACTAATAACCGCTTCTGT